ATGTTTTCTGATCAGTTCATTAATCTACTGAATAGACACAACCTAAGATCATCTATTCCATTAATTCATTCACAATCGTTAGGGAAACTATCTCTAGATACTGAATCAAGCATGCAGAAACTGAAGTACTTAGACAATTGTGGACTGTATGTAATTTGAATATAGCATTGGTTACAAATAAAATTTCGATATTGAAGATAAAGAAAAGGATAGAATACTCACATCCGACTCTCTCAGCATCAACCATACGGAGATCAACAGGAATCTCTTGAAATTGTGCAGCAAGTTGTCGATCACCAAGTGAAAGGTTTGAAGAGACAAAAGCTTTTATGGTACCCTCACCATTTGTAAAGCCAGTGTCCACAGTTAGGTGAATTGGGTTGGTAACTTCTCTAGCATAGAACTCATGAATCAGCGCACTACCGCCATTAACCCCAGCACCAGTTGAATACCTGCAAATCAATAAGTTGTTCAATCAGCTATTCCAAAATGAGAACTACCTACCACTAAAGCAGTTTTCCAACACATCAAAAAACAGCTACAAGAATCGTGTGACAAAGATATAAGACTAATCATGAGAGTTAAAGAGTGGAAAACGAGAAGTACCAGCCGACAATAATTTCCTTGGGATTCACCTTAAGATGTGAAGCTAACATATTGTGGTGGTAATCAATATCCACAGCAACCTGCATCCATATGAAACCATAACCCTCAAAACGTATAACAAGTCACAGCTTTTAGGTGTGAAGCTAACATTTGACCTGAAACGAATTTGTTTTTCAAAGAAGAAAGCTGACAATATGTTCACTAGCAAAATCATAATGGAATGACCAAAGACGTATGAATAAGCTAAATTCGTCTACACTACTCCTATAAACCTCACATTCTAACAAGCAAATCTTCAGCTAAGAAACAGATCTAGAATCTCCAAGAGAAACAACGATAGAGGAATCGAGAGGGACGAGAGATTTAGAGATCGAAATCGAACCTGATCAGAAAATTCATTGTGAGGGACGGCGTATGAATTGCGGATATCGACGGTTCCATCAGGTAAGATAGATCCGAGGAGAGTTCCGATGACTCGTTCAGCTGAGTCAGGACGCCTCACGAAGCAATCACAGACGTTAAAGATAACGAGAGGGTGGATTCTCGCCGTGAGTACAGAGGTTGTTGCCGTCGCCGTTGATGAAGGAGCCACGAATTGCAAGACGGTGTGCTCGCTCGCCGCCGCCATGGTTAAGATTCTGAGAACGGGTAAAAGAGAGTGGAGATTTAGGGTTTCCGATGTGAGCGTTAGAGGAATGAGGGAGAAGGCATGTGATACAGAAGAGATAGGTTAGGTGCTAATGGGCCAACAATTAGGCCCATTATATGTTTTCTTGGACTAACCAAAAGTCCCAATAAAACTCTGTTAATAACTAATATTAAATGGTTAAGTGAGACGTATTTTAGATTAGTAAACTAAGTAAAACAATGGAATAGAAATGTAGGATAACAATAACATTCTTTTGACCCTCTGATAAGCGCTCTACATTTGGGTGCGCCAACAAAGGAGGATACTCTAGGTTGGCATTTCACAAAATCCGGAAAATATTCAGTTAAATCTAAATATCATACGGCCCGACTAGAAAATCTGGAAAATTCTCTGCCGTTTATTGGCCCGGACATCACATCACTAAAAGCACATACTTGGAAAGTGCAATGCCCGCCGAAGCTACAACACTTTTTGTGGCAAATGTTAGCAGGCTGTGTTTCGGTCACAGAGAATTTGCGGAAAAGAGGGATAAATTGCGACATAGGATGCGCAAGGTGCGGTGCGGACGTGGAAACTATTAATCATACAATTTTTGAATGCCACCCTGCCCGGAAAATTTGGGAACTTTCGCAGATTCCTACGGTTCCAGGCATGTTTCCCTCGACGTCTATTTATGCTAATTTGGATCACTTAGTTTGGAGAATACCCTCAGAATTCGATTCATCGTCATATCCATGGATAATATGGTATATCTGGAAAGCACGAAATGAGAAATTTTTTGATAATGTGGATAAGGACCCACAGGAAGTTTTATGTTTAGCAGAAAAAGAGGCACAATCGTGGCAGACAGCTCAAGTCGAGCTACATACTGAAAATTTAGGTTCTTTGGTTCTTGATACTCGACCTCGAGTAAGGGATATTTCTCGTGATACTATCTATTCTGGCCATCGTTGTTTTGTGGATGGATCGTGGAAAGAAAATGATAAGTTCTCAGGTACTGGTTGGGTATGTACTTCAGCAAATGGAGAGGCGCCAACTATGGGAGCTGCCAACATACGTAGAAGTCTCTCTCCCTTACATACCGAAGTGGAAGCTCTTCTTTGGGCGATGAAGTGCATGATAGGTGCAGACAACCAAGATGTAGCTTTTTTCACAGACTGTTCAGACTTGGTGAAGATGGTGTCTTCTCCAACCGAATGGCCGACATTTTCAGTGTATTTGGAGGAGTTACAGAGCGACAAGGAGGAATTTTCAAATTTGTCTTTATCTTTAATTTCTCGTAGTGCAAATGTAAAAGCGGATAATTTGGCACGAAAAATTCGTACCGAACCGCATCATATCACATATGTAAACAACATTCCTCAGGAATGGCTCTTTTGAGCATTAATTAAAAGCGGTTGACAAAAAAAAATAACATTCTTTTGACTCTCTTCCGATTGATTTGGACTCGATTTTGCGAGATGATAGCCTTGGGTCAACACGACCAAAGCGTATCCGTATGTAATTTGTTTTTTCTTTTATTTTAATAAAGCATGAGAGACATTTTCTCCTGGGGAATTACCAAAAAAAAAACAATAACATACACCGCCGTCATTGAATATAATAGTACCATGATATTAAAATTGAACTTTGAATATAATAGTACCATGATATTAAAATTGTTTTTTTTCTCATACACTAACATCTATAAAAGATAGGTGTTGATTTGTTGACGATTAGTCAAAGCATAGATATGTCTCGTTCGTTACTCGTTAGTCGACCACCCATATTTCAATTACGACTTGGGGACAACTCAAGTATGGATCACGATATTCTTAAATGTAATCGCTTGTACAAAAATCATAGATCATATAAAATGAAATTGTATTCAAAGAAAAATAAAAATAAATAAATAAATTGTATTCAAATACAGATCGTCAAATGTTTTAAAATTTTTAGTATTATACAACTAAATTAACCAAACCACCAATTCAATTAATATAAAATAAAAATACAAGCAGAATTTAAAATTAATCAACTCAAAATCTCAGCGATTTTGAGTCTACATGCTTTTTAAAGTTCTTAGGGACTAACGATAGAATCGTTTTTGTGGCCAGAGGTGAATCAATGTTGATGTTTAATGTTTGAGAAAATGCTTGAAAATCGAATATGAATGTAAATTGCCTTACTCTGTGGCAATTGGAGTTCAGGGGTGGAAGACAATACTTGTTGGCATTTTTAAATGCCAATGACACTTAAAAGAAACAAGTAGATTACTTATCACAACAGTAATAGATGCAACTTGACATACCTCCGTTGAGGCAATCAATTCTAACAATAGATGTGGACAATCGCTCTCTGACTAATATAGAGTTGCCAAACAATGTGCATGACTTCGTCACGCTTGGTGAATATAAATATGAACTTGCATTGTTCGACTTGGTATTGGGCCAAACGTTTAAAAAGTGCATTGTATGGAGAAAGGATGTTGCACTTATACAATTTTTGTACATTAATTTGAGTGATTTTTCTATGGAGAGCAAAATTGGCTTCTTGCACTTACAATTAATTTGAGTGATTTTTCTATGGAGAGCAAAATTGGCTTCTTGCACTTATACAATTTTTGTACATTAAATACAAAATTTCATGCTAAAAAAAAAAAAAAAAAAATTTCACAAATAATTGAAGCTATTAATTGTGATGTGGAGAAGTATACATACTTTTTTATGTTAAACAAATAATGGTCAATATTATCTAACGCTTTATCTCCTCAGTTCCCTCAGTTCAGTGAGCTGACGAAAAACCTTAGATACAAGGTATGTCCCTTGTCAAAACGCTCTATAGTTTTGTTACTTTGAGATTTAATCATGTTTACTCTGTATTTCTCTTGGATGTTGTTGTCATTCTTGTCTAATTTCTTAGCTTGCAGAGAGGGCTGCTGGGGGAATATTGTTTGAGCTCATTGCACAATCTTTCAATGATCAAGCTATCTCTGAGAATTGTAAACCTGCTTGTTTTCGCTTGTGGCAAGCAAAAAATTTCTTAGTGTCTGTGACAGACTTAACAGAGAATGAATTGAACAATGTTCCCGGCATCAAAGCTTTAAAGGTTTGTTCAAAAACTGAGATTTTCAAGCTTTAACATTACATAATGTGGATATTGACATCTCTTGTTTCTTGATCTCTTACTTTTTTGTCCTCTATTTTAAAAATATAACTTTTTCTACAATTTTATCATAAGGTTGATTTAATATAACTTTCAGGATGTCATGTATGATAAAAGTAAAACCTTTCTTGAGTTTTTGGTGGTTGGTTTTAATGTCGTTTTACCCTCTTGTCATGTACCACATTTGTGGGCTAAAGCCTTTGGGCTTTCTCTTAATAAAATTTGTTGAATGAAAAAAGGCAATGTCGTTTTATACATTGCTTTTGAATTTTGATTATACTTTGGTGTGTTGAGGATTTTGTTTAGTCATCATCGGTTTGAATGATTCGTGTTACACGGCATCTAGTTTAGCTTTTTTTTTTTTTTTGGTTAGATTATCATTGAATATTGGATACTATAATACCATGATAGTGAAATTGTTCTCATACACTAAAACATGTATAAAGGATAGGTGCTGATTTGTTGACGATTAGTCAGAGCATATAGATTGATTAGTCGTTACTCGTTAGTAGACCACCCATATTTGAATTACGACTTGTGGATAATTCAAAGTATGGATTACAATATTCGTAAATGTTTATCGTTGTAAAAAAATCATAGATCATACTATAAAATGAATTTGTATTCAAATATGGATCGTCAAGTGTTCCAAAAATTTCGGTATGTTACAAACTAAATTAACCAAACCACCAATTTAAATAAATAATACCAGCGGAATTTAAAATGAATCATCCCAAATGACTCCAGAACTCTCCCAAGAAAGTCTTTGCCGCGTCAAGACTCGGGAAATACGTCGGCTCCATAAATATCTGACTCAACGAGTCACACGACTCTTGACTCGCCGTCGCGTTCGTCTCGGCGCTTCCCATCATCGCCGCCACTAGCTGCCTATACGAGAAGAAGAAACTCTTCGCCGCCGCTTCAACCGCTTGCATCCCCTGAAGCAGATGAATCTTATCGCACTCTCTCTTCGTCGCGTAAAGCTTCATCGCCGCCTCTTGTAATCTCGGTCCTCCGGTTGGATCTACCTCAACCGCCAACACCGCCGGTACTTTCTGCCTCAGATCTTTCGACATCTTCATCATCTCCACTAATCCTTTAGATCTGAAACAAAACGCATCGTTTTTCCCCGTCGATTTGATCTGTAACTGCTTCTTCAATTTCAGAAAATCCTCCGGATCCATCAACATATGAAGATCTTCAATCTCCGCTAAAAGTTTCCAGATCTTCTCCAGCAAGTAAACATCGTTCGAAGCTTTTTCGAATTTCTCTTCTTCGATACTGGAGACGATTCGATTCAGAAGATTTCCAGATGCGTAGATCCACGATTCGAGGATCTGATGAATGATATAGAGCGTTTGATTCTCTTGATTATCGATATGATCTGCGAATGGATTATCCTTGAGGCTATAGATCTCGTTAGGTCGGCAAATCGCATCGTACCGGAGATTTGGTTTCCCGGCGATGTTTTGTTCACCGAGTCCAAGCGTGTACTTACACCGACTCATCTCGTTATCGACCGTAGATAAGATCTTCTTCCCTAAAGCTTCTGATCTCCTCCACGTAGCTAGCTGTGGTAACAAACTCAACGAACTCCGTCCATCGCTGACCGGAGCCGCCGAGTCACCTTCTTCTTCATCGTCTTCTTCGCAGATCGCTGCTACAAGCTGGATCTGCTTCGTGACGAGAGAATCTAACCTCCGGTTCCATTCACGGTGGTTGATGTACGGTCTAGTATCAGAACAAACGGCGAAAACTAATCTAAAACTGATCTCCAAAGCTTGAAGAGCCGGTTTAAGAATCGGCTCTGACGTCCACGTAGGAAAATCACGAGATGACCAGAGCTTTCTTAGCTCAGGAAGACGAAGGTAAAGCTCGTAAGCAGAGCAAAGCGCTGGTGCGGAACAAGAGATCGGAGACGAAACAGGGACGATTTTGAATGGTGATGGAATAGTTACGTGAAGCTTTGAAGAAAGCTTAGGTGAGTTTGGTAAATCTGATGATGCCATCTTCCTCTTCCAATCCATATCAACCATTTCTTTTTTTTGTGAATGTGTTTATTTTTTTTTATTGTGTGTTAAAATTTTGAATTTGATATTTTTTCAGATGAATGTATTTAGGATACGAGGAGAGTATTTATAGAGAGAAATGTGGATAGAGAGAAAAAGCGTGTGGAGTTATACCGACGCGACTAATTTGAAAGTCAGCGTAGAGACGCGGTCTTCTTTAAAAAAAAAAAATTTGGGAACACCAACGAGTCGTGGGACTGTGGATTAATTTCAGGATAATCTTTTTCTTTTCTTTTTTTTTTTGGCTTTATACGGATAAAGTTAATCTATATAATTAGTGATTAGATAATTCAATTTATTGCTTTTTTTGTACTGTTTTCCATTAAAGGTAAACTGTATGATTAGTCGAATGTTCAGTAATCAGAGCTCTAGATAAATATCGAATTTTTTCTCGTTTTGGTAAGAGCTTGTCCTTTCAAGGAAAGAAAGGAGGGAGTATATTGTCGTTTAAATAAATGTTTTATTTGATGATCGATAAGAATATAAAATGTTCTGCAATTACATTTTGATAGTAAATCATGCGTTATGGTTTGTCATAATGTCATTTATAAGTAGATCCCATCAAAAGTCATAATTAAATTTTCGTTTTGTTCATTAATTTTATTCTTCATAAAACAACATTTACAAGCTGTAATTAGTTTTTTCAACTAATCATGCACATGGTGTTTTTAATATTTATATTTTTTTGTCGGCTAATATTAATATTAACAGTCGTAAAACATAACGGATGTCATGTACCATGCACATAAAAGAAAGCAATGTTTTCATTGAGTATAAATAAAGCAAATATGAAAACGTCATTTATTTTCATCAATTGAATAGAAAAAAACAAGTATAGTATTTGTTTTGATGTTTTCTAATCTAAAACAATATGTATATCTATATATTAAACAAACAAAACTATTTGAAATTCTTTAGTAGCGTAATGACGGGCAATTGAAGAAATTCAAGAAAGCATAAACATAGATGTCACTAGATTCTAATAACATCAAGGAAAATAAGTTTTTTTGTGTGTGTGTGTGTGTGAGTATGTATAATTGATTCGAAACTTGAACATCAAAACAAATATAGGAAACAAAAATCTTTTTTCGACGTTCTTTTATTATATATGAACACATATTTCCTTACAATAGAGTTAGGAGTATACTTACAAGTAAGAGAGTTAAAGACAAATATACATTGATGAAAAAAAAAAAAGACAAATATACCTTATGAAAAAAAATTATTGCTCAAAATTAAATTTGGATACTAGAAAAGTGTATAGTCCGCCAGTTTTTTTGTGAAACATATTGATTGTTAAACCAGTGTCCACTAGATTTGATATTGTATCGTGTAGCTTATCTCGTGTTATTAATATTTAAAACGCGGAGAATTATAATAGAAATAAAAATCATATAAAAAAGGAAGGGACTATTTTATTTTAGTGTGGATAAGCATTTAGACGGTGCCGTGTTATGAATTGAAAAAGAAAAACAAGGAATGGCACATGGAGAGAAGTAGGAGGAATATAGATGCGAAGCTTATCCAAAAAGTGTGAGGAAGGTTGGAGTTTGGTCTCAATTTCTTTTTCTAATACAGTAGTTACTACGTACTTGGAAGCTGTCGTTTACTTTGACTTTGTTTTTTTTTTCTTTGTTCGAGTTCAATATTCTATCTCACCGATATTTTTATTTATTTATTATATGATAGATAAATTTTGATTTAATAAGACTGTTTGTGATTAAAAAAAAAAAAACTGTTTGAGATTTCACCAAATCTGTTTTAGTGCATGTATATTTTGTGACAAAAATTTTGATGGATGTTTCTGTTATTTTATCGGTAAACATCTAAGGATAGTGAATTTGATTATAGGTTGGAGTAAAAACAGACCATTTCTTCGGTTATAAATTAGACAAGTGTATTATAACGAATGATTATAGTTTGAAAACAAATTAGTGGTCAATAACCTTCCATTTCTTATTTTATGTTAAGAGTTTTTTTTTAATTATTGGTATTGTTTTAAATTCATTTTACACGTCAATTGTTTGCACTTTGCACTACTAAGTACTAACCAAAGCCATCTTTAACGTTTTTCTACATCGAATTACAACCGCCTAGTAAATTCGAGAATTTACTCAATCACTAGAACTAATTTTTGATTATTCAATATATCCTCTTTTAAATAATAAGAGAATCTATATGCGGTGACCACATAAGATTGAAAAATTAGTTCTCTCTCCTCTTCAATTTTATCGTCTACTGTACAACAAATTTAGACTATTTTGCCCTTAACTTCAACATTCATATTTCTCTCTTTTGTCTGGTATCTATGCAAGAAGAAAGAGAGAGTAGATGAGAAAGAAGAAAATAAATGGTTTGGAGGAAGAAGATCCGGATTGGACAGTATATACAAATGTTGGATGGAGAATCAAAGCTTGAGATTATTTTAATCCTTTCTTGTAGAGAACTGTTATGAGAGTGGATCTTATAAGCATCCCTAGTTTCTGGGAATTGAAATTGAATTGATGATCGTAGATAAGAATTAGATGAAATTGGCAATTAGGGGGATGAGAACGAGGTAGTGGTCACTACTATTCCGGTGGATCCTTTGATGGAGACGAGAAGTAGTTTGATTTCACCGGAATTATGACACTGCTAGTGGTTACTATTACTACGGTGGATCCTTTGATGGAGACGAGAAGTAAGACGGCGGTTAAAGGAGAAGAGAAGAAGGAAGCAACGTCGCCTGCTCTTAGACTCACGGCAGTGGAATTGTCACAGATGGGGGAGAAGATGGAGCATCTCGGAGACGGTAAAGAGAGTTGTGACGAGGAAATTGAAAAAAAACCCAGTAGATTATTTCAAGTTTTCTTTCTCTTATTTGATTTCTGATGTCGATAAAATACTTGTTAACATGTTAATCGAATAGTTATCCACATAAATATTATAATATATGTAACTAGTTATTTGTATATGATATAACAAATGAGTTGCCACGATAAATATAAATTTATTACATAAATTATAAACTTATCGCGATACAATATGATTTAACATGATATATTTATAAACTTATCGATATATATTATGTTATCATGCTAACCTAATAGATAATCAGTTAACTCATAATATGTTCTTACTTATGTATTTGATTCGTTAGAATCAGATAAAATACGTCGATAACAATTTTATTATATTGCTAAATAATTTGTTATATACGGAGGGGTATTTTTGTCCAATTTATATAAATTGATGAGAGAGAATTAATTATATAAAAACTATAGGTGTATTCTTAATTTATAAGTCTTCTGTGTATTTATATTAATATAGCCCAAGTAATAAAATGTTACAACTAGTATATTCGAGGCATTGGTCATTCCCAAAAAGGCTAAAACCAAATTTTTAAGAATTATAGTATGTCATAATTAAATACACGTTTAAAAATAAAAAACATATGAAAAGTATGCAAAGAAGTTTGTAGATTGTCTGCTTATTTAGATTAATAAGTTACTTCAAAAGAATATCCCTCTTTTGGGCTTAAGACCTTCTTTCTGATCTAGTGTCTTCCATTAGGTTTAGAAGAGAACTTTAGTTAGGAAAAACATTTTCCCTTTAGCCGCTATCCACCTGTTATCGTCATTTTTGCTTCTTTTAGCTTGAATATCTTCAAAAGTTTGAGGTTTCTCGTTTCAGTTCATCAGTTCTTGAAGAAAATTTCGCTCTTTGTGTCTCTTTTCTGCCGAAGGAAGTTTGCTTGGGGTTATAGTTATGTCATCTGCAATGGATAAGGCGCTTATGGCGATGTCGTTGGAAGAAGAAGAAGAAGATCTACCGTTTGAAATGCCGAACCTCCCTGAGTTTATGTCAATGGAGAGGAATGCTATGAGTTTGGTTGGTCGGACCTTAAATCCGGATTGTCAGCCGATGAAGAATCTTATCAGGAACATGCCTAGGAAGTGGCAAAAACCAGGGAAGATGAAAGGGATTGCTTTATCAAATGAGAAGTTTCAGTTCATCTTTGATAATGAGCACGATCTGCAGGAAGTGTTAGATAAAGGCACTCATACATTCAATGATTGGTCTCTAGCTGTGGATCGATGGTATGAGCATCCTCCGGCAAATTACCTACAGTTTATTCCAATTTGGGTCCAGCTCTGGAACTTACCAATAAATTTCTACACGGTTCCGGCTATTACTGCTCTTGGGGAGCTGATTGGAGAGGTCAAAGTGGTGGCTTTTGATCCGGACAAACCTCAAATTTTGGAGTATGTTAGGATCAAAGTTTTGTTTGATGTATCTCGGCCTTTACGCAGGTCTAAAGTCGTCAATCTTCCTCAAGGTGGTTCTACGACTGTTAGATTTCAGTATGAGAGAATCCAAAAAAGATGCTATGAGTGTCAAAGGCTCACGCATGAAAAGGATTTATGTCCTATCCTGGTAAAGAGAAGACAAGATGCTGCAGTTGCAAAAAGAGAAGGAAAACCAGTGCCAAAGCCTCCTAAAGTAAATTTCCTAAAGGATTCTGATCCTCTGTTTGGTATTCTTAATGAAGATCAGGTGGGCATTGATCCTTTAACGGGTAGGCATATGATTGCTGCTGAGGTGCTTGAAGGAATGAGGCAATATCTGTTGGTTAACAATAATGAAGATTGGGTTATTAAGGCAGATATAATCAGGAAGTCGGTGAGTGAAGTTGAAAAGGACCCTATTGCAAAGAAATCGATTCTGCGTCTAGAATCTCCTCTTCTGGTGCACCCGGATGCTAAAAAAGATAAAGGTGTGGTGTTTGAATATGGTGATCCTGTCAGTCTCTCTCAAAGGTTAGCTCCCATAGATTCTGGTTTTAAGGAGTGCTCCCAGCAGGTTCATGTCAGTTCTGTTAGTTCCTGGTGTTTGGATTCTAATTCTCAGCTTCTCCCTGAAGTACCTGGAAACTTTCTTGCTCTATCTCAGCCTTTTCAAGATAGTGCGACGGTTTATAGGCCTGGTTTCATTGAAGCTGGACCTTCCGGCACTATCTTGAAAAAGGTTAAGCAAAGGAATAG